AGGTCGCGTAAAGGAACAAGAAACCCCTTCCTAAGAACCACGCAGGCAGGCAGGCTTCTCTGACAGCCCCTCCTCTTCACATATTCAGCCGGCGTCCCCAGGGACTCAGGGAGGGCAAAGGGCAGGGGCTTCGGCATGGCCCTGTCCTCCTGGGGGAGCCCGGGACGTCCCCCCCGCTGGGCCTGGGCAGCCCGGCCTGGCCGGGCGCTCTGCTGTCTAAGGCTGCAGGGCATGGCGCGTGAGGGGCCATCGAGCCTGGACCGGCCTTGATGGAGACCCTAACTCTAAGGCCAGTGACCCCAAACACCCCTTGCCCTGAAGCCAGCTCTTTCTCTGCCCCGTCTCCCCCACCGTCCCCAGCCGTTCAGTCTGGACCTTTCCATGTCCCAGTTCAGCTCTGAAGGCAGCTGAAAATGTTGTCAGATTGTCACCTGTATGGTGGCTGGCTGGTCACAGGCACCAGTTCTCAAGAACAGGGTCCTGGCTGCTGCTGATGAACCCATCCTCACTAGCAGGGAGCTACCTGGTTTTTCCTGAATTTCTCCAAGTCACTGCTCCAAACCTGCGATTCTAGAGCTGTGCTTCTGCCACCCCCGAGCTGCGAGCTCCTCGTGGACAAGGCCAAGCTGCTTTACCTGAACAGCTGCCTGCCCAGCAGGTCTGGCGCTTGACCAGTCCATGCTCCATGGAGGGATGGCAGAGGAGTGGGTGGCTGGGCGGATGGATGGTAGATGGATGCTTGGACAGAAGGAGAGGTGGATAGATGGGCGGATGAATGGACACATGGATGTAGTATGGATGGAGAAATGGGTGAATGGATGGATGAATCGGTGGATGATGGATGGATGGATGGGTGGATGATGGATGGATGGATGGATGGATGGATGGATGGATGGATGGGTGATGGATGGATGGAGATGGATGGATGGATGGAGATGGATAGATGGATGATGGATGGAGATGGATGGATGGATGGAGATGGGTGGATGGATGGATGGAGATGGATGGATGGATGATGGATGGATGGATGGATGGAGATGGATGGATGGATGGAGATGGATGGATGGAGAATTCAGTGCCATTCTGCTGAACTGTACAAAAGGCAGATAAATGTATTTATTTATTTTATCGATGACTATAAATGAATTTTGGAAATTTCTAACTTGAAACTAACCTTCCAAGGCATGGGATTCCCCAGAAACCCCCAGCTTGCCTTCGGTGCTCCCTGTGCGCCCTCATGGCCCTCCATTCACTCCACCTGTCAGCTCACCCAGTGAGAGGGCCCTGCAGGACGGGAACGGGGGTGCACACTCTCTCCCCAGTGCATCTCCCAGACCCCCCTGGAAACAGCAATGCCTGCCCGCCCCATCCACTCGTGGCTGTGACGCTGTTATTTCTAGACCACTCCGTGTCTGAGTCTCCTCAGCGAATCCTGGCCACCACTGCGGGAGCCCATTGACAGATGGGGAACTGAGGCTCAGGAGAGGCAGAGGCTGGCCCTGGGCTCTGGTGATCAGTCGTGACACCGCAGAAGTGGCCGAGGCCGTGTCCAGCACCGCCGCCTCTGCCCATCAGGCAGCTCCTGTCCCCAGGTCGGGCTCTGAGGTGTGATCTGCAGCCGGCAGGGCTCGGGCTCTCTGTGGGCTGCCCTGGGCGTCCAGCTGTTGCAGCCCGAGAGGGGACAGGGTCAGCCCCAGATGCTATATCTGGCTCGGTCCTGGAATGCAACCCCGGCAAGGTCACCCTCCAATGGGTGGGCGCTAATTATAGACCCGCTGGCTTGTCTTTCCGGGTCCTTCAACCCCCAGGGGGGCGGGAGGCCTCTGAACCCACCAAGGGGTTCAAAGGCCCGCTCGGAGCAGCTGAAGCCGGTCACCCCGGCTGGTCCTGGTCCCCATCAGAGAGGGCCGCGCAGGGCCGGGACTCAGGGGCCAGGCTGGGGGCCCCGACCTGTTGGCTTCACACAGGCAGGGCTGCCTCCTCCTGGGGACAGGTGGGGAGTGGACCAGGTCTGGGCGAGCGGAGTGGCCCACCTGGCGGCCTCTCCCGGTCAGCTCTGGGGAGATAGTGGCGACCAGCTGGCCACTCCTAAAAGGCTCTTTTTTTAAAAAAAATAAATGTATTCAGCACTGTTTACTGGGCACCTTTGATGCTTCCGTCTATCTACTTTTTAAAAATATATTTTTTTATTGAATTTAGAGAGAGGAAGGGAGAGGGAGAGAGAGACAGAAACATCAGTAATGAGAGTCATTTGATGGGCTGCCTCCTGCACGCCCCCTGCTGGGGATCGAGCCTGAGACCCGGGCACGTGGCCTGACCGGGAACTGGACTGGTGACCTCTTGGACGGTGCTCATCCAACTGACCCACATGGTCTCTCTACCTTTCACGGGGGACGCACACGACTCCCGCAGTCAGGGTGCCGCAGTGTTTTCTGATGTTTTCCCCTGCACAGTGTTTCCCCTGCACAGCTTCACGGCGTTAAGCCATCACCGCCACCATCTCCGGGACTCGGTCATCTTCAGTGGGGACTGAAGGTCTGTCCCCATTAAACACAAACTCCCCGCCCCTCCCCCAGCGCCTGGCCCCCACCATCCTTTGTATGAACTCGACTCCTCTAGGGACCTCCTGTGAGTGGAGTCAGACAGGATGTGTCCTTCTGTGTCCGGCCCATTCCCTCAGCACAATGTCCTCAAGGCTGGTCCACATGGTTGCGGGTGTCAGAACCCCCCTCCTTTATTTTAAAATCCTCACTCGAGGACATTTTTCCCATTGTTTTTTCAGGAAGAATGGGAGAGAGAGAGAGAGAGAGAGAGAGAAACATGGTTGTGACAGAGACACATNTTTTTTCAGGAAGAATGGGAGAGAGAGAGAGAGAGAGAGAGAGAGAGAGAAACATGGGTGTGAGAGAGACACATCGATTGGTCGCCTCCCCTACCTGCCCAGACCAAGGCCGGGGATCGAGCCTGAGCCGAGGTGCGTGCCCTTGGCCGGAATCAAACCCGGGACCCCCCAGTCTTTGGGCTGACACTCTAACCACTGAGCAACACCGCCCGGGCTCCCTTCCTTTTAAGCCTGGGCAGTGCCCCATTGTGTGGATGGACATCTTGCTGGTCATTCATCCACCGACGGGCTTGGTCTGTTCCCACCTCTTGATGGCCGGGACCAGCACCAGGATGCACGTGGCCGTGCACACACCTGTGGAGTCCCTGCCTTCCGTCGTCTGGGGTACATTCCCAGGAGCGGGTGGGGGGTCCTGGGCCGAGTCCGTGTTCACCTTTCTCAGGAGCTGCCACCCCGTGCCCACAGCCCCTACCCCTTTCGCATTCCCTCTCTCGCAGCTCCTCGATCCACGGGGTGGCTTTGGGGCGGGTGCCTGGTCCAGCAGGCGCCTCCTGGGACCAGGCGGTGCTGGTCAGGATGTGGGGTTAAAGCAGGACACCTGTGGACTCGACTTGGCACAGGCTCTTGCCCCGCAGCCTGCAGCAGGCACCCAGGGCAGCCAGGGCCGGACCACGCAGGAGCCTTCGGCAAGCCAGGCCTCCTCCAAGCCTCAGCTTCCCCAGCTGCGAGTCGGGCGTGACTGCCCTCTGCCCCCCCCCCACAGGAGGGCCCCCAAAGTCCCTGCCGCAGCAGCTCCAACCTGTACCAGGCTGGAGTCACTACATTTCCTTAAGCGCTTTTGTCTGGCGTCAAATGCTTCCTCCCATTGGGGTTCATTTTCATAAGTAAAAAACAAAACGACCCAACCTGCCACCCCCTCCGGCCCACGCCCAAAATGAATCTGCGTGGCCGGAAGAGGGGCTTGGAAAACACACGCTCTCTCGTGGAGTCTGTCTTAAATACTAACTTAAAGCTCCAAGCGTCACCCGCGGCCTCCTTAGGCGAAGGCAGAGACGCTCCAGGCCCAGGCAGCTCGAGGGAGGAGGCCTGGCGCGCACCCGGCGCTGCGCAGGGGCTTGCAACTGCCCGCCGAAGCTTCCCCGGGGAGGGAGTTCCTGGGATTTTAATCGAAGTGCACCTCTCTTCCTCTGCCTCCACACACGCACGCTCAGGACAGCTACAACCAGGAGCACACGGACACACGCACACGCACACGCGCACAGGTGCCCACACAGATGTCTGCAGCCGGTCACGGGATTCACGGGCACGTGCGCGTGTGCACCCCCCCCCCACGCATTAGCCTTTCATCCACCCACACGGACCATCTATTGCTTTTAAAAAATAGTAACTTTCAGAACCAGGGGACTGAATGCATCTAGAGCCCGGCTTCTCAGGATACGATCTCACATCTCAGTGGCGTGGCACACGCTCCACTGTCCTCGCCANGCCCACACAGATGTCTGCAGCCGGTCACGGGATTCATGGGCACGTGCGCGTGTGCACCCCCCCCCCACGCATTAGCCTTTCATCCACCCACACGGACCATCTATTGCTTTTAAAAAATAGTAACTTTCAGAACCAGGGGACTGAATGCATCTAGAGCCCGGCTTCTCAGGATACGATCTCACATCTCAGTGGCGTGGCACACGCTCCACTGTCCTCGCCAGCAAATGTGTTCGAGTAAAAATTGCATCGTAATCTATTAAATAACATGGCAGGTAAAATACTTTAATGTTCGGATTACACACCCCCCCAAGCTGTCCCACAGCTGAGCTTTGGGGAGCCTCCTCGGTGGCCGGGACCCTGAGCTCTGCCGATCATCCCCATGGGTAGGGTCGTCCCCGCGGGTGGGGACTCCTGGCCAGTGCAGGCCCACGAGTGTCTTCCTTCAGAGCAGCAGCTCCTCAGAGTCCTGCCCCGGCCCCCTTGGCCCAATGGGACTGAGGTTTGTTTTAGAGAATCAGGAAGGGGGGGGATGTGTCCCAATGGCAGCAGGGGAGGGGACAGGGACACGTGGGGAGAGGCAGTTCTATGATGGACGTGGGACGCTCAGCCACGGGCTGGCCCACGCCTGCGGGCCCGGGATGCCAAGGCCTCCGCTCCACCCGGCCGGTGGCTAAGCGCGGCCTCCCTGGCCCCTGTGTCGCTGTCGTCGCCGGGGCCGGGCGTCCTCGCCGGGGGACCTGGGGGGGCCGCCCTGGAGCAGCCGCACCATCTCGTGGTCCCTGTGGTCGAGCACGCGGGGCAGGAAGAGGGAGGACTTCTGCGTGCGGCGCGTCCTGAAGCCGCGGCGGGGCCGGCCCTTGCCGTTGACCGACACGTACCACAGTCTCTCGGCACCGGGCTGGCGCCGGGCCCCCGGTCCGCCGGGCACCGTCCGGTACAGCCGGGACGCGTACGTGTTGTAGCCCAGCTCGTGGATCCGCTCCACGAACTCGCACTCTGCGTTGTAGTCCTCCTGCGGGTTCCGGGGGACAGGCCACGGTCAGCGGCCGGGGGGCCACACAGGCGCGGGGCCGGCTTCCTCCTCAACGCCCCCCAGCTCCTGCCCAGTCTGGCTGCTCACCCAGCCCAGGCCCCTGCGCTGTGCCCTCCACACCTCTGCCCAGGCC